ATTTTTTTAAAAAATATTAAAAGCAGTCATGTTATTTATGTTTCTATGTCCGAATTTGTTCTTCCAACTATGCTCAATAATAATTATACCTTTTTTTAGTACATATTATGTTTAATATTAACACATCCAATTGTGAGAATTCGGACTCGGGCGTGAATTTTCACGCCTCGAAAATTTTACTCCTTTTTATACTCCTTATTATTTTCTATTTCTCTTCGTTTTCTGAGTCACTTCAAAAAGTGACGTTTTAACCCTTTCTGAGAGGAGAAGAAAAACATAAACCACACGCTTTCTATGTCGTACGATGTACGAACTAAACGCTAACCATATAAGGCAACAATCATTACTAAGGTGCAAGACTAACTCTAACCTTAGTCACCTCTAGCAATTAACTCCGTTAGTTTGATAATCGTTATCAGATTTATGAGATGAGAGAAGTGACAGTACCGGAGAGAAGAAGTAATAAATCTATAAAAAGGTTTCGAAGTGTGACAAGTAACATAAACACATCCCGGACGTAAGTCGAACTTACATGAGGTTGCATCAGATTTTGTATTAGTCAGCCCCTCCGGGACATGTATAAAAAGGAGAAAACTAGACAATGTATGGATATTAGGAAGTTGAATGAGATAATTAAAATTAACAATGAACATATTCCAAGAATAGATGAACTATTGGACACTTATAAGTGCGAAAATATTTTCTACTGTAGACATTTCGTCAGCCTATTGTCAGGCTCCTCTTCATTCTGAAGACAAAGAACTAACTGCCTTTGTAAAGAATTCTTGTCACTTCCAGTGGAATCATCTAAAGATTTCACCGCAAATTTTTTAGCGAATTCTCAAAAATATTCTAAATAAATATAGATTTCTTTTTTTCATCATTTATTTTGATAATTTGTTAATTTTTAGTTAAAACGTGAATGAACTCCTAAAACATTTAATTCAAGTTTTTGAGTTATGTTCATAGAAAGGTCTCTACCTAAATCTTTGTGTCAGTTTGTTAGATCTGAGGTTCAACATCAAACTAGAAAGTTATTCCCTCTCGTTATTAAATATAAAAACTACACAAAAGTTAAAATGTCCAACAAATATCAAACAATTATAGCGCATTTTAGGGTCCATAAAGCATTACCATCGATTTTCTCCAAATTAATGCGAATTTAAAAGCCCTTTAAATAAGTTTCTAAAAAAGAATAAAAATTGGGCTTGGACACCTAAATGTCAAGAATCTTTTCAGATATTAAAACAAGAACTTATCATCATACCCACCATAAACATGTATACAGACATTTATACAGATGCTAACAGAGACGATATAGGACAGGCATGGCCAACATACGGCCCGCGGGCCGAATCTGGCCCATGTAATAAATTTATGCGGCCCGCGAGTAATCTTTCAATATCAGTTACTCAAGTCCGAATAGCTTGATGAAAAATTTTGACGGCAGAAAAAAACAAAATGTCAACAACTCACTGTGCGTTTAGATTTAACCGTTTATTACAGATCTCTTTGTATTTATAAATCAAATAATATAATGTTATATAATAGAAGGATTTAAAGTACAAAATAATGTAATGATCTTAACCATTGCTGTTATTTTTTGCCCGAACAACGCCGGACTCATCTGCTATTTGTTTATAAATCTAAAGAAATGCAAAATATTTTCTAACCTCTTATCAGAATCTAGAGTGGAATCTTCCGTATATAAAAAACTGCCATCGTTATCTTTATTCTGAATTATGTTATAAATTAATTATAACTAGATATATATTAGAGTAAACTACCGTAAATGCGCGACTATTACATAGGGAAAGTTCGAATTTTGTTATTCAGACGTATACGTTTTTCATCTTCTAAGTTTAACATTAAACCCACATAAATAGTGTGATAATGCAGGTGTGAGCGGTCGGTTGCTCAGGGATGGTCAGGTGGCCTGATAACGACTTAATCGGCACGGGTTCGTAAACCAGCTCTCGTTGTCAAGTTAGTAGGGCGTTTTTTCGAGTGGGAGGAGGTAAATAAGTCGATAAGGGGTCCGATTTCCGAATAATAGACAGGTTTTATCAAACAACAAATTTAATACAAAACATAAAATATTAAATACATATGAGACGTTACGTGTTACGAACTACTTACAACTAAACAACTAAGTATCTAAGAAATCGAGAGAGAGAGCTTACGAATGCGGTCTAAGATAATACCTCATGATGTATACTCGTTGTTCATGATCTTTGGTTATGAGTTGTCTGAAGACATTCGCCGATGTAGCTGAGTATCAGAGGTAGTGGACAGTCAGAGAACTGGAGACGATCATGTCCTAAGAGGAGTTCGAAATAGTCCCTGCCTAGAGGCTTCGCGCTGTATGGCGATCGCGCTGTAGACTTCCTTTTTGATGATCGCCCGGAAGTGCGGATGCGACCCCTTTTTATACACGTCCGGAGGGTAAACTATCGGAAAAAGTTCTGATGCAATCCCTTTTAAGTACGATTTGCATCTGGGTGTTGTTTGTGTTAATTGTCAGAAATCGAATGTTTTTTCGCAAATTTATTACTTTTTCTATCTGGCATAATTGCTCATTCTTCCTCATAAAATTGATAACATCTGACAAATAAACTGAATTAATTGCCGGGGTGACTAAGGTCAGAGTTTGTCTTGCAACCTTAGTAATAATTCTTACTTTGTACAATCATTTGATCAGATTTATCGGTTTCAAAATCGGACGAAATGGGAAGTATGTGGGTTTTCTGATTCATTCTCCATTCGACCTTTTGATTTCCGTTTTCTTCGTTGTAAAAATAATTCTTAATTTATTTAATTATTCTTATTTCTAACTATTTTTTTCACTCCCCTCTTTGGATATCACACAGGTTTCGATAACGCGATTTCCTATAACGCGTAACGTGACCCCTGCGTTGTATAGGACTCCACTATATATTTAATTTTAAATAAGTAATCGATTTATGCCATTTATTCTGATGTGAGCACACAACATGTTCAAATACAGCATGCATATTTCATTCAAAGGCTGTCTTCTAGTGTCTCATGCATAATCAATCACAATCTGACAAAATTACATCAAACAAAATTATTTTCACTTTGAAAGAAATTAAAGTATTTCTTAAGACATTAGCATTATCCTGAAAACACTCGGCATTCGTAGAGACGCATTTGAACAGCAACAACTCACAATGTATAATTAGATCGATATTCATCCAACAAATTTAGTGGATATTGAATGAACCAAGTGAATAATTCTGAAAAATAAACTTTTTTTTTATTTCGTCAAGAAATCTGGACAAAATATGGCTAATGCTGGCCATTGTCTGACAAAATTCTCTACCTGTAGGATCCATAAGAAACCGTTTTTTAACTATTTTGGTAATCGATTGATAGCAAATAAAGTTTCCCACTTGTTCCAGAAAGACCTAGAATAAACTCCATACTCAGTGGATCTGAATATCTATAATTACATTCTGTGGAGTTATATTTAGGATAAGTTGTAGATGAAAAGCAACAGAACCATCATCGACTTCAAAGAAGACATTTTAAGTTTTCTTTGTGAAATTGAAGATAAAATTGAAGATTACACCATTGAAAAAATTGATCGGAAATTTAAAAACAAGATTACATTTAGTGGATGGCGGCAAAAATTAAGTAACATCTATTCTCTAATGGATGGTGCTAAAATGAATGTCACGTATATACTACCATTAGAGTTTGGGATAATGAATAGCTTAGTATCGATTCGAACGTTTAAGTAACACTCCTACAATTTGGTTCAGATCGGATTAAGCTTACAGATCTGTATATCAGATATATATATGAACCTAAAATATATTTATATATTTTAGGTTCATATATATATATATATATATGTTTATATATATATATATATAGAGAGAGAGAGGGAGAGAGTTATATATATATATATAACTTAACTTTCTTATTCTAACAATTGCGCACAATTGATCAATTTTACATTATTGTAGTGCATTGTTGCTTTCTCATCTTGCGAAAATTTATAAATTGAATATTAAAATTAAGTCTATTAATATTTGAAATGAAATCAGAAAAGGTAAGCGTAACTTTAGTTTTTTTCCAACACATTGCATATTGTTGGAGAACAGTTTTATCCGAAATTCTAACGACAAAAAAATTGAAATTTTAATGTCACATCGAATAAATATGTATATATTATTACTATCTTTTTATATAACTACAAATTATTTATGGTAATAATCAGAGAAAATTTTAATAACGTATAATAATAAAAATACGAATATCTTTAAAAAGGATGAAGAAAGGACACATGAATGCACTGAATGTGGACAAAGTTTTAAGAGAAAACACCACTTACAATACCATATGAGAACTCATACTGGTGAAAAGCCGTTTGTTTGCGATGATTGCGGCAAAAGATTTTCGCAGCATGGAAATTTAATAAGTCACAAAAAAGTACACTCAGACGAACGAAAATTCAAATGCAGCTATCAGAAATGCACATATAGTAGTCAATATAAAAGGAATTTCCTAAGACATGTTAATAGAAAACATTTACAAGCAACTTCTTCTCAAGTAATTCTTTACATTTTTAATTTTAAAGTCGATAAAGTTTACTTTTAAAAGTATAAATAATGATTACATGATAGGATATACAAGACACTTAATTAATTATGTATTTAATAATAAACAAATATGCTGTAATTTACAATTTATGAGAAAAATATATAATATATCTATTATATTTCTAAAAGACTGAAATATTTCGCTCGTTATCACAGTTATATTTTAAATTAAAATTTAAAATTTTCAATCGATCAAATCAAATACCAAAGTTTTTACTTTTATATACTCTGATAAGCCAATAAACATATGAAAGAAAATAATTATATATCAACATATTATCATTAACATAAGTATATGAATAAGAAAGAAATAGAAAATAACATGAATTTATGAGAATAGTCCTTTAAGATGTTAATGTATTCAATTGAACTTTTACTATAACAAATTGTTTTTAAACGAAATAGAAGTTTTTTATTTTGCGTATTATATTGCCGTTCTTCTAACTAAATTTGTAATAACAGAATATAATTGATTTCTTAGTTTTGAGTAGACAAAAAGTATTTTTGTTGGTTATTATATAAGTGTATTTTAATAAGAGTAGTTAAAAAACGAAAATTTCTGATAAATTTCAAAGTTACCGCAATTCAATAAATCATAGTTATTAATTATCAAGTATGTTTTCTTTCAATAAACATTCAAAATTTATTTTAAAAAATGAGAAAAACTCCTTAAAAACGTTATGATTTAATTTCATTTTTAAAATAGTATAACTTCAATTCTTTTTTTAACGTATAGCGAACAATTTTGTTGTAAAACTTATGTTAAATAGACTTCGTCAAAAGAAATGAAAGTAAGTAAATATCAATGTGATTTCTGCAATAAAAGTTTTCCAGATCAATCTGATTTGGAACGGCACAAAATGCATTTGGCATCTCACACAAATGAACGACCATTTTCATGCAGTATTTGTAAAAAAAATTCAAACGAAATGAACATTTAAATACTAACATCATAAAAATTCATCCACAGAAAGAAATTGAATCATCCTGCAAAGTATGTCAAAAACATTTGTTGAAATATAATCTATCAAATATATCAATAATTAATCAAAAAATATTGTAATGAAAGAAAAATAATCCGAAAACACAGCGCTGTTTTTTTGGATGAATTAGAAGTGTATCCACCTACATTAAATGCCTGAAAATATAATTTTTTATGTAGAATATTAGACTGTTATGTATGTTTATGAATGATATAATTCAGATAAAGTAAACTTATGCCTTTATATGCACTGGAAGTGTAAACCAAATCGAAATACATTTTTAATCCAATTTTTAAAATAACGATGTTTTTATCCGAAATGCTGTGAGATGGATTAAACAAACGTTTATATACAAGTATATAAATTAACATATTAGCCTGAGCTTTTATACACTAATATTATTTGGTATTTCCAAAATAACACGTTAAATTTCAGTAAACATGGATATTAAATATATTTCAAATTATACTCATAATACATTATTATATCATTACGAAACTCGCAAATCCTTTGTTTCCTTTCAAATACTTAGAGTCTTGTTACTTGTAAAAATCGAATAATCCGTTAATTATAGTACAGTTTCTTTCAATAAAGGCCACACGATGTTTTTATAAAACTTATTACTTCACATGATGCAAAAAGTTGTCAAAATGAATGCCAAAATAAATTCATATTGATATATTAAAAATGATTATCGTGTTAAACTGTAGTCCATCAAAAATAAAATTATAGTACTTTACTATGTACTCACATTTAAAAGTACTCACTTTCATTAATTACAATAGTACAATAAAACAATAACTTATAAATTCCATTCTACAAATTTATCTTCAAAAAATGAATTTTTTGAATGATGCAGTTGACCTTAATTATAATATGAATATACAGTGATAGTCATTTTAGTTTAATTAACTGAATTAAATTATATTATATACATTTTTGAATTTTTAGGAAAGCGTTGAATTTATTCAAGATGTAGAATATGACATTGTAGACAAAGAGCAGAAAGAATCAATGGAAAAACCATCAACGAGTGGTCAAAAATCTCAATCAGTAGAATATAAAGAAGCTGTTGTGGAAACCCTTAGTAGCGATTCAGAAAATACTGAAATTATGAATAGAGACGAATATTTAAACATAAACGAACTGGAAGATTTACCAGAATTGGAAATATTTTCAGAAGTGATGGTTGAAGGAGTCGAACTAGAATGTCACATCTGTCATGAGAAATTTGACGACGAAATATCTCGAAGAGAACACGAAGCAAAATTTCATTAATTTGCAAAGCATAAAATTTGGTAACGATGTTACTAAACGACNTTTTTTTTCGTTTATTATAAAAATATTTTTGATATTTTGCAGGCAGAAAATCGAATTAGTAAATAAGTCCTGTAAATATCTTTATTTTGAAAACTAAAATTAATAGAAAATATAAATAAATTTGTGTTCAATTCAGTCATTTTATTCAAATCATCAATTTATTAGAAATATGCTACATTTATTGTTTGAATATAAAAGTGAAATTAAAATTTCGATAAAACATGTTTTTCTTTATTATATTTTCCATTCATAGATTTATATTCTTCAAATTATATTTCATTTTATTTACATTCGACATAATTAACGTGTATTGTTTCTGTCTTTGTACTTTTTATTGTATTTAAAATTTTAAGCACTTCCATACTACTTCAAGTAAAGAAGAGAATAAAAACATTTCGAAATGTATAAAATTAATTTAAAATATGAACAAACAAGTGTGTAATTGATGATAAAAATACAGCAATGTTGAATTATTGCCCACTTAATTTCAGAAGTTATATTAAGTTTTATCTAAGATAAACTTATTGCTGCATAATTGTAAACAACCCCCCTTATAGCATTTTTCACATACAAATGTTATCCAAACAAAAAACTGAGTGCTAAAAAATTTAGGTCAAGTTAAAAATTCTGACTATTTGGATGACAGTCAAATTTTTTTATACGAGTTTTTCTTTACCAAAGAAAAACTCGTATAAAAAAATGGCTTTGTTTGGCTCGGCAGTTGAACACATGACTGTATTCATGTTTCTAAAATTTTGCTTCGAAGTTCCAAGATTATTTTTATTAAAGGAAAACTCCCGTGAAAAAGTTTGGCTCTCATTAAATAATTATAATAATTTTTTCACTATGCACTATTTTTGTATTTTCACATTTCAGCTGTTTTAGTTTTGATACTGAATTAAAGAATTTTTCATTATAGAAATAATTTTAGGTCAGTTTAGTATATACAAAGTGCTTTTTTTTTATTTTATTTTTGTTAGTAATTGTTTTATTATATGAAGAACTAAGATGATCACATTCGGCGTTCGGCGAAGAGATCGCAACGTTTTCAATAGGGCATTAAAAGTTCGTTATAAAAAGTTTCACTTTGCGAACATTTTCAATGACAATCATTTGTTTCGATGCAAATTTTATTTTTACAAGTATAAAATTAAACGATAAAAATAAGTTTGCTCTATGAGGAACCTCCATGCAATTTGACTATTCAACAGAGAAATTTTCTAAGCATCTCAATCACAAAAACAATAAATTAAGTTTAAAATTATAGCTTTATAGATCTAGAAGCGACTGCATTGCCGAAAGAAGAAAAGAAGAAAAAATTGCAGCTTTTTTGGCGATTATTTTACTTTGTAATTGTATACATTTCGAGACAAATATATATAAATAAAATCTAAAATTTGACACCTTACCTAAGAAAACCATTATATTCCGAAAGAGATACTCTGATTTACTATAGGGATTTCGGGAACAGTGAAATCGGCCCTGAAACATCGGAAATCTTATTCCTATACAGGGTGTATCAGAATGATATTTATAAATTTGGGGGATTGTAGAGGATGAAATTTTGAACGTCTTGATATAAGGAACCCATAGCAGGAAATGTGACATAAAGTTTCTACGGCGGTAGGAAGTGCTTGACCGCCCTTCACTTTGGTAGCTACCCTTCCGTCCATTGACGTCATGTTATTGTTCTTGACTTCTTCTTCTGCGGTTATGTAAAGTCCCTCGTGTACGCAACACCTGTAGGAACAATTCATGAGCTTACGGAGCGAACCTTTACATCATTTAATACCATCAGAGGGGGAGCGTGGCATCTTACAGAGTCGGACAAAACATGGTTCGTCGTTGCACATTATGTAACGAAGTTGGTGGTGGTCAATTGAGCATTTACTCTAAAGTAGTGCAGCCACTGATTCCATGTACAGTTTGAATATACTCTACTGTTTTGTCAATAAAACTTGTCATAAATACTGTATTCTGCTGTTTCATTCAGCATACCGACTGCAAAGTGCAAAATGCTGTAGAAACTTTATATCACATCTCCGGTTATGGGTTCCGTATATCAAAACGTTCAAAATTTCATCCTCTACAATCTTCCAAATTTTTAAAACGTCATTCTGATACACCATGTATAAATGTCAGTTAATGACTTTTTCACTTTGAGCGGAACCATAGCTGTCACTCTAAATGAGAAGAAATTATACGTAACTATGTGAAGAGATAATGGACCAAAGGTGAGTGCAACATACACTCTGAATGAGTATCATTAATATAAAATATTAATTGCTCAAATGTGGTACATAAAATGAAATGAATATATTTACGTATTACTCCATTAATCGCTGACTTAAATTTGATAATATGAAAATATATTGATAACAAGAAGTTTTTCAATTTGTATATTTTGATGGAAATCTCGTTTCAAATATCTACATCAATAGTGTCTGCATCAAGTAGAATCATTATATCAAATATAAAATAATTTATAATTCATTTCCATAATTATAAACTAGGGAAATAAATAATTGAAAATGTTGCCAATTATAATATGTGTTGAGATGATATCATTTTATGCAATTATTTAATTTCTATGTTAATGTTATTTTAATAGAAGTTAAGAATGACTAAATAATTAATGTTTCATCACTTTATCTGTATCTATATATATATATATATATATATATTCGTGTTCGTCCGTATATTACACTCTGCAGCCAAAATTACATATAGCACATGAATGGTGTTTGTGTGTAATAGTAGCCCCAAGTCTCCCATCGTGCACTATGGTGGTTTTGTCTCGATAGCTATAAGGGTGGGGGAGATATGGAAGTTGAAAGCGATTGACTTCGAAAATGTGTAACAATGGAAGTGTCAATAATGGAAGTGTTAAAAATGAAAGTGTTTTTAAAAAAGTGGCTTGCAAGATTTACAGCGCAGATGCGACTTATTGCGTTTTTGCAAGAAATCGAACATATTTTTAGACTCATGTAAAAATTCTCTAATTAGTCTGGAAATGGGGGACCTAATTCTTGCATTCTGTGAAATTGTGTTAGATTGACTATAATGCAATCTTAATCTTAGATGTTTTTGAATAGTCCAAATTGTTTTGGAATAGTCGAGGACCATTATGTGTGAGTAGTGGGGATGGCATTTGAACACGTGACGCACATGCTTCAGTTGATTTTTCATTAGTAAAAGTGTATGAATAACAGAAAAAGGTAGAAAGTGAATAGTGAAGTGTGAAAAGTAAAAATATAAAAAACAATTCCAAAGTGTAAGAAAGAATTTTTGCGTCTCGAATCATATCGAAACAGAAATAATCAGACAGAAGAGCAACTTGAAAATTATAGGAAACACATCGAATCAGACAAAGATTATGTAGAGTAAGAGAAACCGTCTTTTATATTAAAAAAAAACTATATTACATACATGTAAATATACGAACAAATAAAAACCCAGCGAAACGGGTACTTGTAGCTAGTATATTATAATATTTAAATTATTGTATACTAAGGATAATAGTCCTATCTCTAGCACTTAACAATAGGCTGAAACGTTATTTGCTGTGAATAAAAATATAGAGTATTATAATCTACTCACACAAAGTTACTGTATAAACATAAAACTGATGTAAGCGAAATAATACAAAGTTTACATGCACATGTCTAACTCAGTACTTGATGGAAAGCGATCATCATCAATCATCCGCGATCATCAGCGATCATCAAGCGATCGCGAAAGCGAATTTTTCATTCAAAGGTAAAGTCTGCTCTTCTTTG